ACAAAAAAAAAAAAAAAAAAAAAGAAGAAGAATTTCACAGGTTGGCAGGAGGATGACGTTAACTCAACCAAAGCAAGTGAAAACCATAGTAGATAGTGTATCATAAAGTATTAAATCAGGTGCCACCAATTTCACATTGAATGAAATCAGAGAAAGGGAGCAACCCTTGGGACGTGGGCCGGGGTGATCATGGAAGCGGGAGTTGAAGCTGAATTGGCATCACATGGATTGAGGGGAGAGAGGAAGGATTCCAGGGAAGCGTGGGTCTGCGCAAAGGCCCAGGCTGGAGGGGAAAGTAATCCTGGGGAGTAAGAGAGCCAAGCTTTGCAGGCCTTGAATGCCAGCTTTAGAGGTTTGGGTTTTAGCCTAGACTGTTAGATCTCAAACTTTGGTGTACTGCAGTGTTGCCTGCGGTGCTGGTTAAAATAAGTTGCCCTGGCCCTGGCCCTTTATGTATGGGGCATTTTAAACAAGCATCTTAGTGGCCCACAGTCGAGGTGGCTGCAGGTCCTCTCCTCGGCATTTCGTCCCTCCTGTGGGTAAAGATGGGCTTTGTTAGCACCATGGAAACCATGAGGCTACAGAGGATTCCCAGCTTCTGTTAGGATGTTGATCCTTGTCTCCTAGGAACCTGGAGGCTGGGGCAGTGGATGATTTTGACTACACAGTAGCCAAAGGGAAAGCAGTCCTGATGAAAAACAAAATAGAAGAGTTACACCTGTAGAACAGTGGAGAAGCTACCTTAGATCTTGGGACCCTGTGGGCCCCCTCTTAAGCTATCCCACTGAGTAAAAAGTGGAGCCAACAAAGAAGTTTGGTGGAGATATTTTTTATATGATAAAGGTGTTCAGCTCTAGGTTTCTTTCAATAGCCATCGCCCCTTATCGTTGTAACATGCATCGGGTCCCAGACCTGCCCTTTAATTCATGGTTTTTATGGTAAGTTACTGGCCCTCCCTATTAAACCTATCTGCTCAGCTTCTCGATTTCTACTGGGAAATTTTCAAACCTAGAGAAAACTTGAAAAGATAATGCGGGAAAACCTATAAATCTTTCATCTAGACTTACCGAGTGTTAACATTGTCATTTGTTTTTTTTCTGTCTTTATACAAGTATATAAATATTTATATAAATATGCACATATTTATATACTATATACATACACTTTCTTTTTACAAAAGCATTTAAAATTCACAGATATCCTGACACTTCATCCTAAACACTTAAGAACCATTCCTCCAATAATTCCTCCTATAAGCACAATATCCTTATCACACCTAAGAAATTGAACATTGATACAGTAATATTAGCTTATAGAACATATTTAAATTTCTTTGATTCTCCCAAAATATTCTTTATGGCTTTTTAAAAAAAAAATCCAGGATACAATCACGATTCACACAGTATATTTAATTGTCATGTCTCTTTAGTTTCCTTTAATCTAGAACAGTCTCCCTGCGTTTGTTGTTCTTGTTTATGACATTGGCATCTTTAAAGAGTCTTATAAAATGTCCCACAAACTGGATTTGTCTGATTTGATCCAGGCTAAATATTCCGAGGCAAGAATATACTATGAAAGTGAGGCAGTGGCCTTCCCGTGGCATGCCATGGTGTCAGGAGTCACGCCATGGCTGTTTGTCCCATTGGTGATGATGAGAAGTTGGATCACTTAGCGAAGGTGTGCACTGGACATTTTGACACCTGGTTTCATCTAAGCACCGCACAGATCTTATTGATCAGTTCTGCCGGATTATAAAGTGCTTGAGGGCAAGAACTGAGTCTTCTCCTTTGGAAAAGAATGCTTTCCAGTTTACCAGACTCTTTCATATAGATTATCCTATTTCCTCTTCAGACACACTGATGGAGAGATTTTTACTCCCATTTACAGGAGCGCAAAATTTCACAGTGCTCGGGAACCCTGACGTGGAATCCCAGACCTACGCTTTAGTTAATGGGTTTTATGGCAAGTTACTTAACCTCTCTTTTAATTCTCTGTTTGCTCAACTCTAAGATGGGGATAATAATATCTTCCTCCCAGAGTTGTTGTGGGGACTAAATGAGGGTACCAAAAAGAAAGTGTTCGACATAGGTCTTAGCACATAAAGAATGCTCAAAAAAATGAAAGTGTTGTATGGATAGAGCTAAACACATCACACACACAAACACTCAACATGCGCGTCTACACCAATACTCGGAGAGGTAAAGGTCTGCCTTGTGGTCACTCGGCTGAGCAAAGAGCAGAGCCTGGATTCAAGCCCCATCCCCCTGACTCCAAATCCAAATTGTATCCCCATACTCCACACGCCATCCTGCGGCAATGCGCTAGCCGGCACGGCCACCTAGGAGCCATAGGATCAAAATCATACGAGTAGGGCTTCCCTGGTGGCGCAGTGGTTGAGAGTCCGCCTACCGATGCAGGGGACACGGGTTCGTGCCCCGGTCCGGGAAGATCCCACATGCCACGGAGCAACTAAGCCCGTGAGCCACGGCCGCTGAGCCTGCGCGTCCGGAGCCTGTGCTCCGCAACGGGAGAGGCCACAACAGTGAGAGGCCCGTGTACCGCAAAAAAACAAAACAAAGCAAAACAAATCATACGAGTAGTGTGTGAAAACTAGACTTGATTTCAAACGTCTTATTCACACCTAATTTCAAGATGCATGCAGCCAGGCACTATTGCTCTGATCATCCAGGGTTGGCCAAGGGGCCCCTCACTGATACCCCTTCTTCTGCCACGTATGGCCTTCAGCTCATCGCTGTGTCACTTGGCAATCTCATAACATCCCCGAACTCACCACATTGAACAGCAGTCACCGTGCTCCCGGATGCAGTGCATTGTGGCTGGAGATCACTGTGTGTTCAACCAAAAGGTTTCCCCTGCCCTGCCCCTGCAGAGCAATTGGTCTAGAGTAGGGGCAAGACTGGAGAATTGTCCTTGGTTAAAGTGGGGAGGCTTTAGGGTTCCAAGCCAGGCAGAGGTCCCTGAAAGTCCCCTATTGTTTTCACTGGAAATTCCCCTTCCTTCTTTCTACCCCAGCCCCAATCCCAGTCTACAGAGGGGAAAGCCAAGCAGCAGCAAACCATCGTTTTGAGCCAAAGGTCTTTATCCCATACAAACTAGGATGCGTCCAGTTAGGAACTAATCCCACCTGGCTGGGATGGTGAAGTGTGTGTTTGCTGTTCAGATGTGTGTTTGGGGTCCAGGGGAGGGAAAGATCATTTCTAATGAAGATTTCACGGAGATGGTGGGCCTTGGGGAAGAGTGGGTTGGAGCTGGATAGGAAGGAGGAGAAGGAGGAAGGGTCGTCCTTATTTGGGGGGGGTGACGCTTGGGGCACAGAGCATCAGTAAAGGCACAGAGGTAGGATAACAAAGGGCCTGGTCTGGGGATCGAGGGCAGGTGTGTGCTGGGCAAGAGTGGGAGACAGGCACTGAGCAGGCGCGAGCCCCTCCCTTTCAGGCGCAGAGCAGACCGTGACTGTGGAGTGGCTGAATATTTCATTGATGGAAAATTGGATGTGGCTGTAGTACCTGGGATGCAGATTCTGATTTCATGGCCAGTGTACCCAGATGGCTGATTAGGCCATCTCCTAATGGAGGGGGAGACACCGCCACCCTCCTCCCCCAAATTTCCCAGCCCAGGAGGGCACAGATACTGACCTTCCTCCCCAACACCTCCAGAGCCACCTTGGCTCCAGTTACTCAACAGACATTATTTAGCACCCATTGTGTGCCAAGCATGATGTTAAGCACAAAGGAGACACAGATGCCTCTGCCCTGGGTGGCAGCTTGGGGACACAGAACCCCTAACAGGTCTCTAACTGTGGGAAGAACAAAGCACTGTAGAGGTCTGGGGGTGATTCAATTCCCTGGGCCTGAGACTTCACAGAGGACTGGCCCCCTGTGCTGATGGGTTCCCTAGACAGACAGGAAGGGAAAGGATGCTAAGCAGCATTTAGCGAGGACTTCATTTTGGCAAAGCACTGTGCTAGGAGTTTGTCCTATACTACAGCCTTCAATCCTCACAGTCATGGTAAAAATAGATATGCTAATTCCTAATTGTGTACACAAAAGGCATTTCTGGTGGGAACATGCACAGGAACACACGCGAAAGGACTTGGGAATATGGGGACCGTTTAGCAATTTGGAGAGGCGGAAGCCTTGGAGGCTTAAGGGGAGGCTGGCAAGAAATGAGCCTAGGAAGGCAGACTGGGGCTTTTCACGTCAGGATAACAAATCTGGACTTTATCCACTTGGCCGTGGAAAGCCTCTGAAGAGTAATGAAGAGGACGGTGCCAAATGTCCCACTAACTCTTTCTGCACTGATGGCCTCCCTGGTCCTGGTCTCCTCTCCAAATCCTAACCACTGCTCCTCATATCAACAGATACTGACTGTACACCTCGACTGTGGGCCAGGCGCTGTGCTGGGTGCTGGGCATGTGGCAGTGAACAAGACAAGGCCTAATGGAAGAGGGGGCAGTAAAGGGAGACAGACATAAGACAACACCTAGTAAACAAATACACAAATAAATAAAAGACCACGATAGGTGCTATGACAAAAATAAAACACATAAAGGGGACAGAGAGAGTTGGGGGCGGGGAGGGGAGGCTGCTTTTAGTTGTTTTCTCTCCTGTCCATGGAGCTCCGGTTGTTACGGGGAACAGGGGTCTTAGAACAGGGAACTGGGTGGGGGGTGGTCAATTTCCCCCATCGCAAATTCTCTTCTGAAAGGAAGTTAAGTTCTTAGAGAACCATGGTCCATGCTTCCAACATTCCTGGGCCACTGATGCTGCCTCTCCCCAAGACCCAGGCAAAGAGCACCTAACTATAAACCAGCGAGAGGCATGGGCTGGGGCAGCCAGGGCGAGCAGTGCCTGAATCCCAGAGCTGGAAAGGAGGACCGCAGAGACCACACAGAACAGATGGTAGATGTTTGGAACCCATTTCCAGAGATGGGTTTCTTTCCCTTCACCCATGAGCCGCTACAGAATTTCATCTTCTTGGCAGCCAACAGGGTTCTTCTTTCTCTGAACCGACCCCTGTGCTTCAGGGCCCAGTCTTGGCCATTCCTCACAGGCAGGGAGAAGACAGACTTAAACCCAGGCCAGTGGTCCTCAGAGAAACCAAGTCTGTCTGAGTCATCTCTTCACAAGCTCACAAAATCCTGAGCCCTTTCAACATCTCTGATTACCCGCCCTTGGTGGCCAGATCGATGTTTGTCCTGAGAGTGAGGGAGGAGTACGTGGGATACTGGCGGGGGGGTGGGAGGGGGAGCTTATCATGCCCCAGTTTCTGGAACGTGGAGCTGGAAAAGCCAGGAGGGCTACGCTGTGGACCTAGAAAGCCCAAGGAGGGGCCCTCAAAAATGAGCCGAGTGTCAGAACTGGAACAGACCTGATGGGACGGGGGTCTATATGCCTGAAGGGGATGGCGAGCAGGTCAGACTGGTGGGGCTGGATCCCAAGCAGGGCCATCCCGGAAGGAGATTGGGAAACCAGCAGATGCTAGGCGAGGCTTGGAACAAGAGCCTAGCTAATGACTGCATCAGCCTGGAGGGAGGAGGGAACAGGTTGGGGAAGGGAAGGGTGAGGATGGGCCCTGGACAGCCTGCGGGCCCGAGGCTGTGTCGGGGTCTGGACTAAAGTTAAGACGTTCTCCTAAATACAGAGAAGGAGGCAGTCCATGTTGGCCGTCAGTGTCTTTCATCCCTCAGAATAATCCCGCTGGGTCTGGTCTTATCACAGCATTTTTGCCCTCCTGCAAACATGGAAACAATCTGGGGCCCTGGAAAATAATTTGGTAGCCCCCTCACGTGCTTAGAGGACCTCTTTCCACCTTTCCACTCTCCCTGGGGGATTTCCTAAAGCCCAGCCTTCTGAGAGCTGACAAGAAAGGAGAGCGTTTTCTTGATTTCACAGAGCAGAGCATTACGCCTACCTACCAAAGCTCAAGATGATGCAGAATTTGAGGCCGTGTGTGTGAAAGAGTGCAAATCCATCCTCACAATTTTTCTGAGATTCCATCTCAAGCATCCTTAGGCTGAATAATGAGGAATTCAGCACTCTTCCCTACCCCCTTCTCTCTCTCTCCACACACACACACACACACACACACACACACACACACACACACACTCCCCCGCACCCATCTCAGAATCTTCTCTTTTTTCTGCCACAGTCTCTGCTTCCTTCTCCTTCTTCCCACCTCCCATCTCAGCAGGAACACACCAAGACCAGCAGCCTCCCAACCACAGGAACAGGTTTCTCAGAAGGAGTAGTTAATGCAGACCTGACCACAAAGTCAGTGCTGCCCTAAGCCCATGTCTCAGTCTCACCACATCTAATGTAACCCAAGGAATGATGCAATTGCATCCTGCAGCTTTTACCCAAACAGGGCCTGGGGTTGCCCTGGAGAGCTGGCTCTGCTGCTGTTTTAGGAGCCGACCTCACTTCTTGTGGCAGGAGCCACTTGGTCCCTTCCCAGGCATCAGCTGCTCCCATGGGCTTGGGAAGGGCACTTATAAAATGGGGATTCGTAAACAGGCTGCAGAGGGTCCCCAAACTGAATGCACACGTGTGCGTTCTGTCTGATTCTCAAAGGAATCAGAGACCCTCCGAATGGTTTTACTAGTCTGGGGCAATAGGTAAAACAAGGATTTGAAATTCGCCTCCTCTTATTTCGTTCCCCAGTGCGTGTGAGTTTTATGCAATTCCTCATCTAAAAGGGAAGCCTGAGCCCATGGAAGTCGGGGGTTTAACATCCTGAATATACAGTTCTTTGGATAGTCACCAAAAGAGGATCTGAGCAGGAAACATGAGGTCACCTTCAGGGAGGAGACTCTTGAGCTGTCTGGAGTGAGGGGACGAGGAATGAGGAGGATCGGCGGCCTTGAACCCCACAAGGAGAGGCCAGAGAAACTTTCTGGGATGCAGTCCAGGCTCTGCCTCGAAAATGCAGCTCCAAAAGAGACGCTGTGCAGATTCCAAGCTGCCAAATCCCGGAGGCCCTATTGGACAACCCAACCTCCATCAACCCAGATGGTACTGGGCATCCTGGGCCCTACCCCCCAAGATCAGGAGCCCAAAGTGCAGAGCCACTGCAGAGTCAGACCTGAGAAGCTCAACACCAAGCCCCAGCTTCCCTGACCTCCCACGGGAGGCGTAAGAGAGAATGGGAGCCTCCACCCACCCACTCACCAGCCTCTGAATCTCTAGTCCTTGGCATTGGTAATTAACAGCCGGGAAGTTATGCATCAACCTCAGCCAGCTAATGTGGCAGGAGCTCCCTCCTGACAGCAGAGCTAATAAGAAATTTGCTAATGCAATTGATCACTTTAAACAGCCATATGTCAGCGGGGATGAGTGCTTCTTTGCAGCAGCTAGTCTAATTGTCAGAGCAGAGCAGCGAGCTGCTCTCCAAAGGGGGCGAGGATGATGTCTTCACTGAATCAATGGTGCAATGCAGCAGGCAGGGCCTGGGAGGAGGGGGTGTGGTGCTGAGCACGAGGCCCCCAGCTCTTGCGGCTCCCAGGAAGCCAGTCTCTGCAGGCCTGTTCTAAGGACATATTAAGAGCCCTGAGCTGCAGCCCCTGCTGGAAGCTGCACTTGCAGTCTCTCAGTTTATGCCGCAGTATTAAAATAAGAAACAGCTCTGTCTGCAGTGACAGCTGATCTCAGCCTCAGCCCGTGAGTGTCAACACTCCAGACCCCACTCAGCCTTCTGCTGGGGGCAGGGCTGATACCTCCGGCGAATTTGCTTTTTCTCTCCCACACCCCGCAATGACTCCATCCACCAGTTCTGAGTCAGATGCAGGCAAAGAAGATTGAAAATCCACCTCAGGGGACTTCCCTGGTGGCGCAGTGGTTGAGAATCCGCCTGCCAATGCAGGGGACACAGGTTCGAGCCCTGGTCTGGGAAGATCCCACATGCCACAGAGCAACTAAGCCCGTGCACCACAACTACTGAGCTCGCGTGCCGCAACTACCGAAGCCCACGCACCTAGAGCCCGTGCTCCACAACAAGAGAAGCCACCGCAATGAGAAGCCCGCGCACCGCAATGAAGAGTAGCCCCCACTCATTGCAGCTAGAGAAAGCCCGGTGCAGCAGCAAAGACCCATCGCAGGCAAAAATAAAAATAAATAAATACATTTATTTATTTTAAAATAAAGAAATCCACCTCAGGCCCACCAAAGTCTGCTCCCAGTTGAGACAAAAGGCAACTTTCTCTGAATACCTGGTGTTTGACAAAAACAAAGTATGTTTTCCAGAAGGGGGAGAAACCTCTGCTGTGGGATTTTGCTTCCAACACTCACTCCAAACCATTTGCCCTCCGAGCAAATCCATAGAGAAGCAAGACAATCAACTGACCTCTGTGGGAATGGAGCTCAGGGCTACCAGGAACACTGTTGGAGGGATTAAGGATGTCCACGTGTCTGGATCCCCACTGCTTTCTGGAATAGTCCTCACTCTCAGTTATCTGTGGGAATGAGGGGAGGGTGGGGAGAGGGATGAGGGAGGACAGGCCACCAACATGCAGAGAAACGTCATACCCAGTCTCGATCAGTTCAGCTTTCCTCTGAACCACATGTTGATCCTGATTGTTCCCCATCCTTTACATTAACGCTTTGAATTTTGGGTGGAGACAAAGAAGACAAAACACAAGGACCCAGGTCATAACCAGTGTGTGTACCACACCCAATAACCCAGAGGAGCCTAGTTCCATGTGTCGGCAGTGCCTGACGCAGCAGGCTGCCTTCCTACTCAAGACCTTCCTTGGCCTGATGACTCCCCTAGCCTCTGGGGTGAGGGCGAGGCCAGGTACCAGGAACTGGTGAAATTTCTTTATGAGTCTCATCTGTAGGAGAGGAGGTTTTGCAACAAGGCCCCCCAGTGAGTTGAAGCCACCTGTGTGTCTGTGAGCAACCTGAAGGCAGTTGGCAGTGGGCAACTCCTCTGGCTTCCCAGAATACCCTGTCCAGCACCGGGGCAGAGCAGCTAGGGCGGCTTGGGGTCTGAGCAGCACAGCCTCCAAGCCCTGGTCCAGGGGCTTAGCGGCCAAGGATACAGGAACAAAGAGGACCATCCTCTGGACCTGCTCAAGCTAAGGGTCCCAGGGGCCCCTTTATGTGCCCTTGAAAATGTACTTTAATATCTAAAGTCCTATTCTCTTATTTAAAAAATTATTTTTTTAATTTCTCCTGGTTCTCCTCCCAACTTTATTTTTCCCAAATCAATTTTAATACTATTTTGGCCAAATTTAAAACACTGATTAGAATAACACTGAATTGGATTTATTTAGGGAAAGATTTTCACTTTTACAAAATTGAGTCTTTCTACTCAAGAGTATGGGCATGTTTTGCTATTTAAATAAAGCCTTGCTATCCAAGGACTTTTAAAAACTCCACATTGGCTCTGTATTACCTCCCTTGAAGGCTCATTGCCAAAGGTCCCATAGACTGTTTCTCACCAAGGCGGTAATGTGTTACTTCATCCTTGGCACTGGGGTGAATTACACTCTAAAGAGAGCTTCCTGGGTGCCTTAACTGAAACCAAAGGCAATGGGACAAACGGCCACCTCAGGGTGTCTTGGCTCTGTGACTTCTAACAGAGATCCCCTCAGTTTGGATCCACTCGACACACAATCTCTACTCCAAGGCCAACAAAACTAAAACACCCCACACTTTCACCTGGTCAACGGTGAGCACCTCTGGGTCCCAGGAAGGAGACCTAAGGGAAAAAAGGCCCCTTCCTTTAAACCCAGGGTTGGTGGTTAACTTGCGAACAGGTGTTAGTACAGACTCTCCCCCCACTCACACTTTTCTTCAGTAACCCCTCTGTAGGGCCAGCTTCACGAGGGCGACCTTGTTGTTGCCCAGGGGCTGTGCTTAGATGGACCCTGCGCTTGGCTGCAGGCTATCCTGTCACAATCTTGGAATTCTTAATCATTTTGAATAAGGGACCCCACATTTCCATGTTGCACTGGCCCCGGAAGTTACATAACTTGTCCTGCTCCTCTGCAACACTTGCAGGCTCAGAGACGGTCAGGACCAGCCCAGGTCACACTTGGAGGTGGCTGGCATTCGAGCACAGGCCAGTCCAGGTGCTAAGCTGGGCCCCCGGGGCCAGGCTCTGTGTCCAGTCGCAGGCAAGTCCTCACTCCCACCTGTATATAGGCCTGGCTGATGGACTTTTAAGGGACACATCACAGGGGACTCGATGCTTCCTTCCTGGGCTCCTCCTCCCTGCCCGCCTCCCAGGGTCCGGGCTCTAACAGCCCACTTAGATAATCCTCGGCAAAACTTGCTGGCTGTCATCTGGACTGCTTCAGGCACGGGCCTGCTCAGTATTTCCAGAGTTTAGACCCCAGGAGCGAGTGAGCAGTCTGCGTTCTCTCTCCAGACTTCTGCCTCTCTCAAGACCTCCTGGGAGTCTGGGTCAGCAGGAGAGAGCACTTCCAGACCATTAGCAGGAGCACATCCGGTCTCCTGGGCCAGAGGAAGCCACCGCAGTGGGAAAGAGAAGGGCCAGGGACATAATCCATGAGGGTTACTCAGCCACCAGTCAGTGCAGCTGGGAAGGAGGATGAGGTGGGGCTCCAGCCTGGAAAGCTCGGGGTCACATGTGCCTGGGAACCCTAGGATCTCCCCTCCTTCAGATCCCTCAGCCAGGAGGATGGAGCTAGCTTGGGCAATGAAGGAGTCAGGGTACCACCGGGAGGGAAGAGGCTCAGGGAACTCCCCATGGACATGCACTTTTGAAGGAAGCCTTTCTTCCTGAGGCCCAACCATGAGGATTCTGGCAGCAAGAGAAGGATTCGTTTGTAACCTCCCAACTGGAGAGGTGGAAGGAAAATGTTTAAGTGTTTATTTAACTCCATCTATCCATTTACACATTCATCCCTTCATTAATTTAGCACTTACGTGAATGCTTATTTAGGGATCAGTTGTGCCAAGTGCTATGAGGACTATCGACTCACACGGTGGAAAGAAGGCAAGAGTACTCTCTGGGGTCCCTTTTATAAGAGCACGAATTCCATGCATGAGGGCTCTATACTCATGACCCGCTTAATACCTCCCAAAGACCCCACCTCCTAATACCATCACATTGGGGGGTCAGGATGTCAACATATGAATTTGGGGGCAGACACAAACATTTCATAACAGAGTATAAGCTCTGTGGGGTGGGGACCATGTCTGTCTTGCTCACTGCTGTATCCTCAGCCCTTGCCCAGAGGGTGGCACATAACTGGGGCTCAATAAATACTTCTGGAATGAATGGATGAGAGATCTGACTGCTCTTTGGAAGCTCTATAAGAATTCAGAGAACATCTATGTGGGCTGGAAGAGCTGGTGTTGACTTCATAGATGAGACATAAACACAGAAAAAGTTAAATAACGACACAAGACAACCGTACAATAAAGACGACAAGGCAGCATGGGACACACGTCAGGCAAACAGTGCAAATACTGTGCGTTAAAGCAAAGGAGGGTGTATCAGCTCTGTTTTTGTCAGCAAGTAACAAAAAACCTCAACTCAGACTGTCCTCAACTGCAAGGGGATTTATTACCCTTCATAGCGCAGGTTCAGAGGAAGGGCAGGCTCAGAGCGTTGACACCGCAGCTCACGGAGTCCTTTCCCTCCTGCTCTGCCATCCTCGAGTGGGCTTCATCCTCATGTCGGGTGGCAGGATGTCCACAGCAATTCTAGACATGGAAACATCCTACTGAAGCAGGACAAACTGTCTCTTCCCATGTCTCTTTCCCAGGAGCTTTCCAGCAATTTCTCCCTTCATCTCACTGGCCAGAGCTGGGCCACATGCCCAATCCCAGGCTGACTATTGGTGAGGGGAGTAGGATTCTGTGACGAGCACAGACCAGCCACAATCCACTCTTGGAGCTGGGATGGGATAACTGTCCACTGAGTTTAAATGGAGGAGTAAATATCCCATAGAAATTAGAATCTGTTAGACATGAATAAATGGGAAGATGAATGTTGGCTAAAAATCAACAGTAGCCACTGCAGCCCACCCCTTCGTATATCTAACGTCTACTCGCACCATACAAAGAGGTCCCCCTGTGCCGAAATTGTCTAAAAAAGGCTTGATGGAGGAAATAAGATTAAGTTACGTCTTTACAAAAAAGGTAGGACTTGTACAAGTGGAGAACGGGCAATAAGAAATGCGAACCTGGAGGTGAGAATTAGCCAAGATTGCACCCAGAAAATGCCCCCCCAAGAGACCAAGAGCTCAAGAGCTACTTAAACCCAGGCAATTCTGTGTAATGGAAAGAGCTGGACTTTGGTGGCAGAAAGGCTTAGGTTCACATTTTGGCTCTGCTACCTGAGTTTCTTAACGTCTTGGAATCTCCATTTCCCCCAGTGACGTAGGACTGGAGGGTCTGCCTCCCTGGAATGTGATCAGGATCACGCCAGACTGTTCAGGACAGAATCTTGCACACAGAAAGTGCCCACCACATGTTTTTCTCCTACCTTCTCCTTCCTTGGAAAGGAAGGCTGTTCTAGAGAACACTGAGTTGCCAACACAAACTTCAGCCCTACTGTGAAACAGAGGAACCAGCCTGTGCTCTGATGCCAAGAATTGAAGCATGAGTTTTCACTTCTCACTTTAGTCTTAGATGAATGTTGGGCCTCTTCTCGCCTTCTTTATTTCTAACCCTTGACCCCTTGTGGTATAAAATTTGACTGCAAAAATCCAGATGAGAAGCAGAGAACCTTATCTAGAGCCACGGAGGCAGAGATGGAAAGAAGGGTCCATGTAAGTGTCTCGGTTAACAAAGGATCTAGCGAAGGGCCTGACTGCCCAAGGAGGTTAGAGCTGTGCTTCAGGACCATTGGGGCCATCACACACCCACGAGAGAATCAGAGAATGTTGTAGACGCTCTTATCAGAGAAATGTACATATGTAAAAAGATTATTGTACATATATTATTACATATTATTGCATATAATTTCCACAGGTTCTGGGACACTCTAAAGTATCTCTTTAAACCCCAGAATGAGAAGTCCTGCATTAGTGAGTTTGTTTGGGATGGTCCAGGCCTGGTTTCTGCAAGCAAATGGGAGAAGAACTGGCTTTGCACCAGTATAACCCCACAGAGTGACCTGCAGCTTCAGGATGGGGACGCCGCTGCCGGCTCCTTTGTTCCTGGCTCCACACTCACACTGGCCTGAGCACAGTCTGGGGGATGGACTGTGCACCCGCCGACCCTTAGGGAGGGTTCGGGTGATGCTGACACTCTTGCTGACTTAAGAGAAACCAGCTCAATGTGTTTTGGATGACGGGTTCTTTGTCCTGAGAGTGATGATTACCTCCCTAAGAGCTCTTAAGAATACAGGGACAAAGAGGCAAAGCCGAAAAGACAAAGACGCAGATCAAAAAGGGGACGGAGATTTCAGAACAAAAGCAAAAAACCATCGGGAGAGCTGCCTCGGAACTTGTCACTGTGGCGGCGGGGGAGGGGTAGCTAATCAGAGCCGGGGTCCGGGAAGGGGCAGGTGCGGGGTTTAGGGCTGCGGATCTGGACACCGTGAGCAGCACTTACGTAAGACTGAGAAAACATCGGTTGTCCGGATCAGAGAATGGGGGAGGGGTGCCTTCCGGAGTTTAAGAGGAGGCTGAAGCCGTCCCCGGCCTCCCACCGTTGGCGCCGCCTCTGCGGCTCCAGCTCTGCAGCCCCGCGGTCTACAGAGGCCCAAGGACGCCGGCCGCCCTGGCCGAGGGTTAGCTGCTGCGAAGATGGCAGCCGGGCCCCTAAATGGAGCTCCCCAGGAGCCCAACTCGATTGGCTGCCTGCATTATTAATGCATTATGTCATCCTTCCTTGCACTCGCTCTCAGCTGCGGAAATTTTATAGAGCAGTATTATTAATTGAAGCAATTAGTGCGGGGGATATCAGCACAGCTACGTCAGAGGGCTGCGGACATGCAAGGCCAGGATCTCTCCCTCCCTCTCTTTGTGCCCCGCTCTCCCTCTCTCCCACCTCCTCCCTGTGCCTCCCCAGCCCCTCCTCCCTTGTTTCTACCCGCCCCCACTTTCTTCTCTCCTGCTCTTCCAGTTCTCTCTCAATATCCCTCTGGGGAGACTCAGGGTACCCACCACCCTTCCCAGGCTGCAATCATTCCATCTCCAACCAGCACAGGCAGGCAGACAATAACAGCATCACCGTGGCTGACTCCTGGCCTAGTTGAATTAGGATGGAAGACCATCCCTCATGGTTCTTATCTTGGCTCAGAGCCCCTAGTGGGGGTGGCGGGTGGCAGGTAGAAAAAGGAGGGGCTCACTACCTGTCAGACCCATTCATTCATTCATTCATTCATTTTTCCTCTGTGGGTACCCAGCCTTATAGTAGGTGCTGTGGGAAATAAAGAGGAGATAACAGAGCTTAGGCCCCGGAACTGAGGTTGTAACCAGAGAGACCAGACTGGCCACTGAAACAGAGCAAAATAGGGTGCAGCACAGGGTCTCAAGGGAGTGATCCCCGACGGGTTGATTGCCCAGCCCCGTGAAACACCCGCTGTGGCCCAGGAAGTGAGAAGTAAGGCCTAGGAAAGCAAAGGAGCCCTGAGAGGTGAGGAAAGCGAACTACCGGCAGGCTGCAGGAGGGTGGGAGCAGATGCAACTGCAGCGGAAGGAAGGAAGGAAGGAAGGAAGGAAGGTGCAGGCTGAGCAGGTTCAGGGCAGAGCTTGGGAGGGACTCCAAGCTGTGCTCCCTGCCCCCCCGGCCCCCCCCTGCTCCCCTACCTCCCCCGGCCCCCCCCGCCCCCCCACCCCCCACCCCATGATACTGAAGCTCTCACCAGCGGAGGCCGAGACCTAGAAGCAACTGGAAAACCTGGCCAGAGGCCAGGACACCAGGATACCTGGGCCCACACCCCAGATCCTTTCATCAGGAATCGGAGACACCTGAGAGGCCACAGGCTCAGGTTCCCTGTAAAATAAACAGATACCAGGATGGAAACATACAGGATGAACATTCACCCTCTGCCCCTCCCCACTCTCCCTGCTCCCCTCCAGGCTCATGGGAACAGGTGCACCTTGTGTTACAGAGAGAAACCTCCTTGGAAATCTGGGGGCAAGTGGTCTGCTTGGATATATTAAGTTTTAGTGGCAGAATGCTCTTAGCTTTTAAACTTGTTTTCTTATGGAAATTTTCAAGCATACACAGTGAGAGAAGAGACTAATGAACCTTCATATTAATATAGCTCAGCTTCAAAAATGATCACCTCATGGTCGGTCTTCTATCCACCTTCCCCCAACTTTTGCGGGGCAGGAGCACACGCTTTAAGGTAACATGCTCTTGTAAAAAATGGTCTGCTCGGGCTTCCCTGGTGGCGCAGTGGTTGAGAGTCCGCCTGCCGATGCAGGGGACACGGGTTCGTGCCCCGGTCCAGGAAGATCCCACGTGCCGCGGAGCGGCTGGGCCCGTGAGCCATGGCCGCTGAGCCTGCGCATCTGGAGCCTGTGCTCCGCAATGGGAGAGGCCACAACAGTGAAAGGCCCGCGTAACGCAAAAAAAAAAAAAAAAAAATGGTCTGCTCATTTTTCTTCTTTTTTTTTCTTTATTAAAAACAAATGCACGCACACCCCCTCTGACAGACAGATTTTCATATACAGTGCTTATTTAAATGTGAGAAAAGGATCTATCATGGGTTAAACTCTCCCAATGTGCCTGGGCAGGGGTAGGGTGTTAATTGTTTACTCCTCCCAACAGCTGGAGAAGTAGAGATAATTAAACGGTGAGAGGAAGTTCACACACAGTAAATTACAGAGGCCCACAGGGTCCAAGACCCCTGCTGCTACCCTCTACTGCCCCCTATCTCCTTACTCTCCAAGGGCACCCCTGGAGAGGCTAAGGCCAAAATGGGGGGAAGAAAAGAAAGATGTTGGGGAGTGAGGCTATTGATGGCTACCCCTGTGATCTGACCTCAGTTCCCTGAGCTCTGTTTACTCCTTTTCCTGGCCTGGTGGTGCCCACTCCCCACCTTCCAGGACCCTCGTGCTGACCACTTTTACCCCATACCTCTACTGAGACCTATTCCAAGGAAAGGGGCTCAGATTAGTGAGTGAACTACAGTATCACCTACATCAGGCTGCCCAACAGACTTTCTATGACGATGGAAATGTTCTATTCTGTGCTGTCCAATATGGCAACCACAAGCTACATGTGGTTGTTAAGCACTTGAAATGTGGCCCTACATGGAAAGTCTTGAAGAAGGCAGGATTTTGTCCTCGGGGTGGTAGGGAATTTTAGGAGGTATCTGAGCAAAGGAATGTTTTATGGGAGCAGGAAGGCTTTATGGTTTTATGTGCTTACTGGTTTGATTGCTACCGTTGACCCATCACGGCCTTCCAGGTGATGGACCCTGGTCTAAGCTCATGCACAATCTCATTTAATTCTCAAATACAGCCCTCTGAGGTTGATGTTTTACAGATGGAGAAACTGAAGCTCAGTTATGGTGAGTGTCATGCAGTTACTGAGTGGCAGAAGACATGAACCCAAGTCTGCCTGATTCTGAAGCCTCAGAGCACTGTGCAGCGCTGACTTTAAGAAAATTCAGCTGCTAACAGGACGTGAAAATGGGCTGGAGGAGGAGAGAGATGAAGTGCTCAGAAACAGCACCGGCACTCAGAGCGGCTACGTAAATCCTTGCTCACTTAAATTGAATTGAGTGAAGGTTCTGGAAAGTCTTTAATCCCAACCAGGTTGCCAGGAACTAAATATGGCCCAGGCCTCTAAGAAACCAGTTTTCACCTGGCAAGCTGGGGCTCCACAGCCCTTATAGGCTCTCACACAATTACTGTCCATTAGAGAGGCTAACAAGAGAAGCCACTTGGCAGGCCTGTTCCTGGGGGCTGTGGCCAAGCCTAGGACCGCCTGAAGGGGACAGGTGTGAAGACTTGCTGTGTGAAGGTGGCATTTCCGCTGGTCCTATCCTAGGGCCCTGCCAGTCCCCAGGTCCTTTCCAGGGATATCTGAGCTAACCTCCCCAGCTGGGAAGAGGGGCCTGGACCAGGGGCCTGTAAGGCCCAAAGACAAGGTCAAACGCAGAGATTCAGAGTTCAGGGAAGCAGGATCAAGAGGCTCTGATCTCCAGAAAATCACTTTAAGTGAAATTTGTCTTCACACCCTGGTTCAGCCCTGAGTCCTCTCCCAACCTACCCTCAACCAGAACTTCAGTTTCTCATACCCCCGAGGTCCTCTTGTCAGAAAACTTTCTGCAAAACACATTTATCCTAAGATGTTAGGACATTATAATCATCTATTCCCCTTACAGGAAAGTTGTTCCATGGTGGAATTCCAGGTCCTCAGTTTGGGAGGATGGAATTTGAGTTAAGGTCTAACCTGTTTGTAGACAAGACCAGTCTGGCTGATATGGAAGCAACTGGGAGAGAGTTTCTGAGAAAACAAGTAGGCATAACTAGGCACATCAAATTAGATGAGGTAACTCCTTCAGTCTGCAAGTATTTCCTGAACACCCCATCATATTCCAGGAGCTGAGAGGCAAACAGAACAGTGAAAGAGACAGCAGGTGAAAGAGCTTTGGAATTGGTGACAGAAGACATACCTGAGTTTTGAATTCGAGCTCTACCACTGATGAGCTGTGTGATCTTAAACAAATGATTGGCTTCTCTGAGTCTCATTTCCAGTTTTCTTTGATTTGGTAGACAGAGCCGAGAGGTTAAGAGCTTAAGCTTTGGCAATAGACAGACCTAGGTTTGAATCCTAGTGTTGTCACTCACTGGTGGTGGGCCTTGGGAAAATTCCTTGATCTCTGCCTCAGTTTCCTCATCTGGAAAATGGGGACAGCAGTTATACATTTCCTGGTTGTTGTAAGAATTAAATATAATAATAAATCTACAGTGCTTCATATACTGTCTCAGATAGAATCTCAATATGTTAATTATTATTATATTCATTGCTTGTTGCCCCAGGATTAGGTGTCAGACGAGGAGGAACAGGAAATGCTGGGAAACTGGGGGATGGATATCAGAAATGAAGCTGGGTCAGTGGGAGGATGAAGCCAAACAGAGATGGCCCAGGCTCAGGACCCAGGCAAACTTACTCAGAGCTGTGCGATCATGCACAAAGGTGATGGCTGAAGGTGGGGGTGGGGGCTGAAATCCCACCTCAACCCCACTCCCTAAACAAGCTTTGCCTGTGCTGGCAGCATCCTGCACAGGGCCAGGCAGGCAACAGGACAAGACCTGCTCTAAGGGGTGGGAGCAGGCCAGCCTCTGGGAAAGGCAGAGGCAGAAGGAAGGCAGTCTCACAGCTGAAGGAGTCTGGTGGCAGCAGCTGGTGTTCCAGGGACAGGACTCAGCTGCAAAGACCTTGCATGAGAGGGAAGGGCACAACTCAGTTCCCAGAGCCTTTCAGGGCTGGTAGGAAACCAAGGCAGGTATTCACGCAAGGGGCTACACAAACATGATGGTCAGCAGGCACAAAGCAAATGGCCCTGATGATGGAACAGACCGCAAGGTCAGGCCGGGCCCGGGCACAAGGTTGACCCTCTCCTGGGTCACAGAGGATGAGCGACTGGGGCCTGAGTTTGCTGCTACTGATGATGCAGTGGGCAGCTGTTGATGCTGGAGGGGGCAGGCTGTGGGGACAGGGAGCTGGGCAGATCTATACAAATTTTTTTCCAAACCCTTTGGCAATCGAATGCTCTTCACGATCTGTGAGGCTGTGTGGTAGGATTTACCTCTCTCAGGAAGGGTGGCCTCCCTAATGAAATGGTGTTAGGAGCAGGGGGATATTCCTCTGCTCAGGAATATTGCCCTTATGGTTCTCTGTGCCAGTGTAATCTCTTTGGATAAAGTCAAAGGTCACAAGCTCAGATGCTACAGGAGCCAGGCAGTGGCATAAATGGGAGAAGGAGATCAGACATAACGATAGGGAGCAGTAGGGAGTGGTAGGGACTGTGGCAAACCAGCAAGCGGATGTTTTAGCAAAGGTTTAAGGAAAGTAGCAGATGCTCAGCACAACCAACTCTTGCCCAGTGGGAATATATGACCAGCACTTTCAGTTCTTCCAATTTTCCAGAAGAAGCCAGAAACCTAAATTTTTATGTAAAAAAATTCTTTTAAATACCCGTTCTTTAATACCAGCAATGAATTATTATTTACTTTTTTTTTACAAAACTCTTGATGTTATCATGATCTGACCAAACCCACAAGCATTTGTGGGTCACACGTGGCCTCTGGTTTGGGAATTCCTCTCTCCAGGATCCCCTGGAGATGCAGCCCCCTCTGAGAGACGTCTCACATTGGGTCCCTAATCTCTCCAGGAGGGAGTGCTACTCCAATGTACTCTTTCTTTCTCGCCCCTAGGGTGCTCCTTCTTCCTTTCCCCCTGTCAGAGATCACGGGGTAGTAAAGGAGGCGGGACTCGCCCCCTGAGCTTTGGCATTTGTTTTATTATACATTACGGTCAGGGTTACAGGCTCTGTCTCCCAGAGGTCCTTCCCCAACTTCTACCCCCTCCCCCAACTTCCAATTAGGAAGAGGGTTTGAGACCAGACTGCAGGCCTGTGCCGGGAGCTCTCTGGAGAATGCAAGAGAAATGCAAGATGAAGTCTTTCGGTCTGGCTGCTAAGAGGAGACACACGTGGAACACCACAGAAAGTCTCCATTGTTCCTTCCTTCCTTCCTTCCTTCCACGGGCATTGACTGGGCCCCAATTGTGTGGCCTGTAACCCACTGGGAAGAAAAGACTTTGACTCCACCATGCTAAAGCTGTAAGCATCTTTTTGGATCATCTACTTATGGTTAATCTGGAGTTTTCGATCTCTCTCCCTCTCTCTTTCTCTTTCAGCAGCATTTTAGAAGCCTGGTCCATTAATCAGATTAAGGTGGGTTCTCTGATCAAAGCGGGTAGGGGAAATCCTGAAGTTCCTGTCCACTCGGTTTTCCTCCCCACCACCCAACCTCCCACCCCCAACCCCCAACTTCCAGGCTTCTGTGAAGTCTCTGAAAAACCCTCCTGAGAAAAACAGTTTGAAAAATCATTAATCCAGTCCAACCCCTGAAAATCCCAGTTTTGGAAACTGAGACTCTGAGAGGTTAAATTACTTGCCCAAGGTCATACAACTGCACCTCCTGATTGCACGCAGGTCTCTTTCTTTGGCCACCGTCCCATAGTAGTGTAAACTCAAAGTCTCCAGAAAGGGAAGGTAATTGGTGGGAAACCTGGAAGGCAGACAGCTCAGCATGGGCCCGCTCCCCTGTCAGGGAGGCAGGAAACTTGAGTGGAGGCCCTGCTGGGTGGTTGAGGGGGCAGAGGGTCAAGCAGGTGTTAAATTCCAGAAGCCTAGAGATAAGCAGTGTGAGGCCAGTGGAAAACTGGGATGGGGCTAGGATCAGGTTTGATGTGGAGGAAAGGCCTAGGGGGCAGGCTTTGGGTGGAGGTAGAGTTGGAAGATTGGTTTTTTTTCCCTCTCAGTTCACCCAGTTGAACCTGCTGATGGACCCCAAGCGTTTTCAACTTTGAAAGCACAACAGAAGGCTGCAAAGCCCAGGCAGACAGGCAGGCACACAGTCGAGTGAAAGTGGTGTATTAAGTAAGCCTTAGGGCGGCAGCTGGGTTGCATTAAAAATGAATCAAGAGGGCCTTCCCTAGTGGCGCAGTGGTTGAGAGTCCGCCTGCCGATGCAGGTGACACGGGTTCGTGCCCCGGTCCGGGAAGATCCCACATGCTGCGGAGCGGCTGGGCCCGTGAGCCATGGCCGCTGAGCCTGCGCGTCCGGAGCCTGTGCTCCGCAACAGGAGAGGCCACAACAGTGAGAGGCCCGCGTACCGCAAAAAAAAAAAAAAAAAAAAGAATCAAGATAATGTTTGAATGAAAACAAGAATGGAATGCTGGGGAAAAGGTGCTCTGAGGGTGGCCAGGGCTGGGCAAGGTTCCAAAGCAGGGCCAGGTCAGCCCCAGAAGCCAACTGGTGGCTCCCAGTATCTATGCAAACGAGACAGGAAAGGTGGAGGTAGGCTTGGAGACTGCCCCTTCCTGGGAGCTTCTGGGGACTTTCATTCTCTTACCCACAAAATGGACACAACCATCTCAACTCAGCCTTCATACTGGAGGCTGTTGTGAGAAGCAAATGACATCAAGTTGAGACCCACTGAAGGCTTTTACCAAGGCTAGGGTCGCGACTATACATGCCATCAGAGGTGGCGAAATGTGTGCAGTGACCCTGGAGTAAAATTAGCGGGGGTAGAGACTGGAGAGTGCTTGCCCTGCCCGAAGGCTTTCAGATGAAAGATTCTAAAGCCACATTCTGGCCAAATGAAATGCACCTGCCCCGCACCCTGTCCCCGGCATGCACTCCCTGAACTAAGGTTTTAACAGATGATTGCTTAAGGTCTGAGCCTCCCAGTGGGACATATATTCTAGAGAGTCCTCAAGAACTGCCCTGTCCCTGATAATAGCCACTAGCCCCATGTGGCAATTTACATTTAGATTCCAATTAATTAACATAAAAAATTTAGTCAATCACGCTAGCCAAATTTCAAGTGCTCCATAGCTACATGGAGCTAGTGGCTACCGAACTGGACAGCGCAGATATAGAACATTTTCCTCAGCACAGCAAGTTCTGTGGGTCAGGGCTGCTCTAGGACTATAATCGGTGGAATGATAGGTATTGCAGAGGGAGGTTTCTTCCCTGGGGCTTCTCAATATAATACATCACATATTGGCTTCTTACTCAGCCTAAATTCAAGGTTAATCCTGGAGCCCTTCACTGCTTTCCCACTTCCTGTAAGCCCCAGGCTTTGTTAACTCACTAACTCCTAAGAGTGAAATCTTCATGCTCATTTTGCATCCGCTTAGGACACAAGGTCTACTGGGAGAGGGCAAGGGCGACAACTGCTGTTTTCCTCTTCTAGCCAGAGATCTTCTGAGGTTACCATGTCTTCCACTACATTAATGATTAAGAGCAGGAGTTTCTGAACCCTAAGGGAGATGGCAAGAATGACAGAACTGAGGGAGACATTCTGGGCCAGTTAGGACTGAATGGTACCCAAACAGCCTGGTGGAGGTGGCCACCTGCTCTCCTACCAGGGAGGTAGGATAGCAAAGTCGTGACGAGCACATCCCAGCTCCTCCACTTACTAGCTGTGTGACTTGGCCTTTATATACGCTCTGAGTCTGTTTTTTCATGGATAAAATAGAAATGGCACTTACCTCAGAGGGCATTTTAAGGATTAAATGAGTTAATGGAAGGAAGGCACTTAGAACAATATCTGGCCTGGAGTAAGCATTAGTAGTAGTAGTATTTGATTATTTGTATCATGGCCTTGATTGAGGTTGTGAATAAGGCAAGTTCACATACTCAGTGCACTGGTATCCTCCCAACCCTCCCCACACACCTGCTAGATTTTTCCATCATGGCGCCTGTTGAATGCTTAATTATTTGTTTCTTCAATTTTAAGAGCCACTGCTGGGCCCCATCACCAAGGACTTACCCTGCCTTTGCCCCACCGTAGAGCTCCCTTGGTTTTTCCAACACTGCCTCTCCAGCACTCTGACTACTGCCCAGGCCAAGCAGTAGGCTGCCTCCCAGGCCCCAGGGCTCCTTCGGGAGAGCAGCACAGGCTTGTCCTTATGCATGGCAGTCGAGGGTTGGTCCTGAAGGTCCACGTGATCCAAAACCAGTGCATCCAGACACGGGTATCTCAGAAGGAGAGCAAGTGAAGCCAAAGACAGGTTGAGTCAATCAGATTCCTTCTCTCCAGAATCTGAATAAAGGAAGACCCAAAGACTGCACAGCTTGTTAGCAAGAAAGGCTAATGTTGGGGACTTCCCTGGTGGCACAGTGGTTAGAATCCGTCTGCCAATGCAGGGGACACGGGTTCGAGTCCTGGTCCGGGAAGATCCCACATGCCGTGGAGCAACTAAGCCCGTGAGCCACAACTACTGAGCCAGTGTGCCACAACTACTGAAACCTGTGCACCTAGAGCCCGTGCTCCGCAACAAGAGAAGCCATCGCGATGAGAAGTGTGTGCCGTGATGAGAAGCGTGTGCCGCGATGAGAAGCCTGCGCACCACAACGAAGAGTAGCCCCCCACTCAACGCAACTAGAGAAAGCCCACGCACAGCAAAGAAGACCCAACGTAACCAAAATAAATAAATAAATAATTTTTTAAAAAGGCTGAAAAATGAGGGGACCACAGAAGTCCACGATGGTCAAATGAGAGCTGAGGGGAAGGGGCAACAAAAATTACGTATGCAGGAAGAGAACCACACAGGACTCTGGGCTGGGAAAAGAAGATCTCTGGCTAGAAGAGGAAAACAGCAGTTGTCACCCTGTGCTCCACATGTGCTTCCTTGGCACTTGTCCAGAAACGTTGCTTCCTTTGCCTTCTTCTTCACTAGAAGCCTGGAAGGGACATGGAGTAACTATTAGCACAAAGGCTCCGTAAGCACCTTTAGGATGTGCTAGAACCACTAATAGAAAAAAGCAGCCACCATCAAAATAAACAATTTCTGGGTCAAAAATGTCAGCGCAAACACAGCACAGAGCACCCTCAACTGCCCAGCAGCTCCTTTCTGGTGGGCAGATGAGTGTCTGGACCCAGGGCCCGTCAGAGTGATGACTGCTTTCTCCTCCTGGCTCGAGGGTGTCCCTCCATCCAAGAGAATTGGCTTCCTAGGTAAAGAGGCCACGCTTCAGTCAAGGGTCTGCCAATGTGATTTTTTTTTTGTAATATCCTCTGTCTCTTTATTTTTTTATTGTTTTTTTTTTTTGCCAATGGGATTTGATGAACTCACAGTAGAGCCGTTCTCACCCAAAAAGACTCTTTGGATGAAAAGAGATGAGTCAGGGCTTCCCTGGTGGTGCAGTGGTTGAGAGTCCGCCTGCCGATGCAAGGGACAGGGGTTCGTGCCCCGGTCCGGGAAGATCCCACATGCCGCGGAGCGACTGGGCCCGTGAGCCATGGCCGCTGAGCCTGCACGTCCGGAGCCTGTGCTCCGCAACGGGAGAGGCCACAGCAGTGAGAGGCCCGTGTACCACAAAAAAAGAGAAAAAAAAAGAGAGATGAGTCAACCCAGGTGGCAATGTTAACTCCTTGAGCAAGTCCATTTACCTTTCCGGGATGCAGGGAACTTGTCCGCAGAAGAGGAGGAGAGAATATGGAGTAGATGCATATCTGGGGCTCCTTGCATTTTATTCATTGATCCCAGGGACCCTCAAAAGACACATCTCCTACTTTAGCCTATCAGCCCTTGGCCTTCCTAGCAAGCTAATCACCTATGAAACAAACCACAGAAATCCTGCTCTTTCTTGGTTTGTCTCCCCCTTTCCTTCCTCTGTCATAACAAAGGTCTGTGTTGGGGATCCTCAGCTGGGCTGTAGGGTAAGAACAGTTAATGGGTAGAAGCGGTGACAGGGTCCCACTGAGCAGTGAGGCCTGGCGTCAGCCTTAGTTGTTATGTTGACACCCCACTTACATGGAAAACTGGGTGAGGCAGCCTGGCATGTTGTAGGTACCTCTGGGAAAACTGCGAAAGGAAAATTTTAAACACACACCCATAACAACCACCACTTCCTAGGCAGTCAGCGCCTCCTCTGCTTGTGAAAAGGAGCCTGGCCCTGTTTTGGGGGTGGAGGGGTGTGGGGAGAGTGTTAGGCCCTACCTACCTGGGCCCTGAGGCTCTGGGAACGCAGAGGCCATTTTCATCCAGCCTTCAGAAGTTTCCTTTTGTGGCATCGCGGGGATAAAAATATTCCTCCCTGAAGGTGCAACCGCGGCACAGCAGATGTCCCTGACTGAGCACTTGGGAAGGAGCTATTAAAAGGAATGTAATTAGGTTGTCATCCTGGGGCCTCCGAGCCAGGCTTCCGAACGCCATCTTTGTTGAAAGTTTTCCAGACGTCAAATATTTGCGGAACCCGATTTACCAAGAAGGTTGTCCTACACAATAGGACTGAGCGCAGCAAAAGCAAAATGACACGTCCGGTCAACGTTGGCCTCAGGCCCTAAGACTCCTTTGTCTGTGTCTTTTGCCCATTTTGGGTCCTGGCCTCTCTCCCTAATTTCCTCTCCCTTCCTCCACACACATAGCCTCCCATCACAATTTGCTCTTAGGAAAGGCTCTCTCAGTCATTTACCCCTTAGCATGAATGAGGGTAACCCTCTGAGCACTTCTTCCCTCTCCAGGAACATGGGATTCATGCCTGAGCTCTGTACACTTCAGGGAACAGAAGGCTTTGTCTCCTTTTGTAAAAGGGATGTGAGGCACTGGAGCCACGGTGGGGGGAGTGCCTTCCTAGTGACCCTGCAATTGTGTCACAGGCAGCTACCTACTAGTCTGTGTCTGGAGCCAGTCCTGATTCCAAGCTCCTTTCTTCCTTGGAGTCTGTTGTAATCACTCCCCTCCGTTCTGCTTTTTTACCTGCAGGTTCACCTCCCCATCCGTCTTCTCGGCCATTCATCTATCTATGCATCCGACAGCTATTGAGAGGAGCTGTGCTGGGTGGGAAAGAGAGGGGTGAGCACAGCACCCACGAGCCTTGTCATCATGGAGGGAGACAGCGTAGAATCAGAAAGACATTCATCAGATAATTCCAGAAATAAGTGGAAACAAAGGAGAAGGAAGTCCATGGTGCTGTGAGGATGTGTTAGAGAGGAAACTGACCTGTCAGGGACAGCGTGTGTGTGTGTGTGTGTGTGTGTGTGTGTGTGTGTTGAGGGGGATATGTGTTATGTGCTTGGTAATTGGTTCCTTCAATTGGAACAGCTTGTGCAAAGGCCCTGGCTGAGCCTGAGAGGAAATAACACAATTTTCACGAGATCTTTCTCCTGCTGGACTTCAGGAAACATCAGGGATTGTGGTTATAAAATTTTAAAAGCAGGGAGAAGGAAGGAGAATCGGAAACCGGTTTCTGAAATCCTCTGCCGTAAACAAATTTCTTATAGGGAGTTGAGAGATGGCTCTCCAAACAAACAGATTTTCTTTGGTGGCAAAGAGAGCTGGCCCTGACCTCCTCCTCCTCCCAGAGGCCTTCCCTGATATTTCAGCCAGCTTTTTACCCTTTAGCAATATATCACGGTATTTCCCCAGGTCAAGAAGTACTATTTTACAATAGGATTGTTAATGGCCACCTAATACTCCAGAGTAGAGGAAGCCACAGTTTGACTCAATGAAGCCCCTGTTGTTGGACATTTAGCTTGTTTCTAATGCTTTGCAACCCTAAGTAACGCTTCTATGAATGAACATGCTTGTATATCAACTTTGCCCATTCCTTGGACTTTTGCTCAGGATAAATTTTGCTACATAGTAACTAATAAGGGCCAGTTTTACTAAACACAAGTTTTCTTAACTGCTGAGCCTGTATACCTGATATACAGGTATACATATACGTAGTGCTCTTCCCACTCTGCAGGGATCCTGCTGGGTCCTCATCCATCCACTAAATTTGCAGGAAGGGATGGGAGGAGTCTCAGCAGGAAAGAACCTGAGTGGACAGTGGCTAAGGGCTGTGTGTGGGGGGGGATGATCAAGGGCTCAATCACCACTTACCTCTTTCTCCACCTGTTCTTCCCCAACGTAATGGACCCAGTCTGTCTATGCTGGTGGAGGGCTCTGCCCTGATGCTCAGCACTCCACCTGCGTAGACAGAGCCTGAGAGTGGGAGGGGCTAGGACCTCTAGCAGGGAGCTCTCTGCAGGAACTTTCTCCAGAAAGCTCTCAGCCCCGAGAAGAATTGTGGGGCTACATGGAACATATGCCAAAAGAGAGAGTCCCTGGCGGAGACAAGGCTGAGAAACAGGATACCAATCTGTGGTTCAGAGTTCGTTACAGATGTGTTGTGTGAATCACCTAATCTCTCTAGGCCTCTGTTTCTCCATCCATCACATGGAAGTATCCTCTTCTATCCCTACTTGACCAGGATGATGCAAAGATGAAGTAAATGAATATATATCTACTTAAAATGAGCTACTGATTATGAAAGTATATGGGAATACACAGGCAGAAAAGAAACCAAGATTGAATAAAGCCATAGAGTATAAGTGGGCTTTGTGTTTTATCCCCAGGGCCTAGAACTGTGCCTGGCATATAATAGGCACTCAGTACCTATTTGTAAAATGAACGAAGAAACACATAAACATCTACTCCATCCTAGACACATGCTAAGTGCTTCATAGGCATTTTCCCACTTAGCCCTCACAAACAGCTCTTTACCATGGAGGTATAAAATACTCCCATTTTGCAGATATAAAAGCTGAGGCTCAGACTGGTTAAGTAACTGCCAAGCATCATACAGCTAGTGTTTGACAGGATTTAAATTTAAATGTAAGTTCTTCTGATGCCATTCTCTCAACTCTTCCCACCTCTGTTATATGTTGCAGGAGAAAACTTGCTGTGATGTGTGCTCATGTCACTGTGCATTAAATGAGATAGTACTTGTTGAAAGCTGCAGCACCTGGCATGCAGTTAGTGCTCTACGAATATATTATAATACTCTACTCATTAATTTCTATTTTTTATCACTGCATTGTAAGCACCTCAAAGGCAGGGGTTATTCCTCTCCACAAGCAGGACAGAGTAGTTGCCTAACATACCAATTAACTAAAGCATTATTTTTGAATATCATAATGTGGAAGCAGGATTGTTTCCATTAAGGCAGGGCTTTGTGCTTTGTGGACAAAGCTAATCTGACCATGACTTTAATGGGAAGCCAGAGCAGGCCATGACTGTCCAGTGGCTTGGAAACCTGGTGGTCAATAAGGAAATGGGTAGAATCAGACACCAAGGAAAAGAACAGTAACCGTCAAACGGAACTCCCGCTCTGCCCCTCCATTGACACCAGGCGACCATTCTAACAGCCTCTGGCCCCACCCCTAGGGCCTGCAATCTGATAGGCTCAGCAAAGCAGAGGTGGGTGGGGCCTTGGAGAGACTCACCCAATCATCTGGCTCCACACTTGCTGCCTGGGACTAGGTGGTACAGGAGGTGACTGGACCCCGCAAGAGAAGTCAGGGGTCCTGGAAAACTTCCCTCCCCCCCCCCCCAGAGACAATGCAGGAAAAGAGACTTAGTCTTTCAGTCTTTGGCTTTGCACTTTACTAGCACTGAGCCTCAGTGCCTTCATCTACAAAATGGAATAGTAATTCCTTTTCCATAGGGTTGTAACAATTAAATAAAATATAACATGGAAAATTGCTTAACATAGGTACCTAATTCATTTCAAGTGCTCAAAAAAATCAGTTGCCTCTGGATACCAATGTGCCTGAGGGCAGGAACTATATCTGAATCACGGCTTGCCTGGGTGCCCTAGTACTTTTAATTGTTCATACAATGTTGAAGAATGAATGCCTGAATGGCTGGAATCCTCCATTCATGCTTCATCCCATCTGGTTAGCTTTGCCTGTTTTTAGTCTCTCAAAAAATCTCTAGAAGATTTAACACGTTAATCGTTTCCCCCACTCCCAGGAGGGCCTGGGTACAACATGAAGGCCTGGGTACCTGGGGAGGAAAAGGGGCACTTTCATAACAAAGACAACTTCATGGTGTGACTAGCCCCTCCCTGGCTGCTTGCACCCTCATTTTGGACCTTCTTGCTCCAGGATGCTAGGACAATGGCTTTGACCCACTGCGGGCTATATGAAGGATATTAAAGATACATCAGGCTGACAGTGAAGATTTCAGAGGGGCTGAGTTGCCCTTAGGGGTGGAGTGCTGTGTTCCAGTTAGAATTAAGGAATGAACAATTTAGATGAGTGGTTAGAATTGGGGCATTAAGATTAGAGTTTGGAAGTCAACTGGAGTTAGGGTTTGATTATTAGTTACCATTGAATTTCTGAATGAGAGATGGAGAGTTGCTAGTAGCCAGATATGGTGGGGGCCGTCTCATTGATCTAAAATTTAAAATGTTCTATTCCAAGGACCTGTCTCCTTCATTATGGGGAGCGAGAAATTTCTCTCTTCTGACTGGCTCCTCAACAGGCCTGAGTGTACCTGCAGACTGAGCAGGTTAAGCATCTACTACGTCTCAGGTGTGTCGTCTAGCATATATGGTCCCCAAAGTGTCCAGGACACAGACCCCTATAATGAAGCTGAGGAGACCAGGATGTGAATGATCTGGTCTAGACCCACCCCTGCCATAGCCCAGTGACTTTGGAGGAAACGTAAATCTCCTAGCCTCAGTTTTTCCATCTGGCAAATGGATGTAACCTCAGAGGTCTGTTTGGAAAACCTCAAGTGATCGTGGAGGAAGAACTTTGAAGTGAACATGCTCTCTGGCAGAGTAAGCTGTTCCAAAATGAACTATAAAGCAAAGTCTGGGTAACTTACCCTCAGGAAAGGCTGAAGATCCTCCTTCCCTCCATGAAATTCCAGGTTTTCCAGCCCTTGCCACACTCAACCAGTCTTTCCCAAGACCATTTCCGGCAGGGACTTATGCCTCTGAACAGGAACTGACAAAGAAGCAACTCACACCAAAAACTTTCCAGGCTCCTAGTCCTCCCCAACACACACACGCACGCACGCACGCACACACGCACACCAGCCAGCTCTGGGGCTGCAGTATGTATGACGAATCCTATGAGACACATGGATAAAGTGAGGACTGGACAAATATTTATCACATGAATGAATGAATGAATGAATGAGGGTGTGGGTGAGTAAGTGGCTGCATGAATGAGCAGACACACCCTTAGAGAATGAGATGGCTTCCTAATCCAGGATACTGAGTGCGCTCAAAGAATGTCATTTGGGGCTTTCCTAGTGAGCGCTCCATGACGGAGCCATACCCTCTTCTTTTCCTCGAGCCCCATATGTCTTATTTTCTCCCCAACTTCATTGTGGGGGACTATGTCCTAGACTCCTTTGGGAACAAATATGCTAGACTCAATATGTGGTATATAGTAGTTGCCCAATAAATGTGTGATGAACTGAAGTGGAAGATAAATAAGACTTGGACCCTTACACTTACACCCTCTCTCACTTACAATTTAGTGAGAGAGAAATCATAGGCATATAAGTACTATATGACAAAGCATCACAGGTAACTGGTACCAAAAAAGAGCCAAGGAATATATGCTATAGGTCAGAGCTGAGAAAACTTACTATGGGTTGAAAAAGCAAGGGAATGCTTCATGAAGGAAGGGAATGAGGTTTAAAGGCTACACCCTGAAGGAAGAGAAAGATTCGGAGGCAAGGGAGAAGGTGATGCTGATAGGGGCAAAGGGCTGTGCCCAGGAGGAAGGCCAGTTCAGAAAACCTGAGTAGATTTAGTGTAGCTGGACAGCAGATTCAAGCAGAAGAGTGCGGCATGTGCCACAAGTAGGTGGTGGCGACTGTAGGAGAAGGGATTTGGATCCGGAAGCTAGTGAGGGCGTTTGAGCAGTGGAAGGAAGTGCAAGGAATGCTGTGAGGCGTGGAAAGATGATCTGGAGGAGACAGACAGGTAAGCAGCAAGGTGAGCGGCAAACCCTGCTGGGAGGTAATGTGCCAGCACAGGACTGGCCAGAGCCGAGTCTTGGGCAGAGAGACCACTTTCCATTTCTTTCTTTCTCTCTCTTTCTTTCATTCATTCAGATATTGATTGCCCCCTAGCAGGCCCCGCACAGGTAAACAGAGCAGATGCCTTCCCGCCTTTCCCGGGCCTGGGTCTCTACTCTCGGCCCCCACCTGTGTGCCCAGCCCCAAGGCTTGGGGCCATACGGGCCAAGGGCGAGGGCTGGGTGTGGAGGTGCAATTGGCTCTGACCTCTCACCTGCAGCTTCTTTCCACGAAACCTCTAATCCCCACGGTCCGGGGTCCCAGGCCCACGTGCTCCTGATCATGCCCCACCCTGACCACCGCCGTCCCCCACCGGCCACACCTGAAAGGGAAGGAATTGCGGGAACGGGGGTTGCCCTGTGGACGGGGCGGCGCCACCAGAATACGGGCTGAGGCCGCGGGCCGGGGCAGGGGGCTGAGGGACGGCCTAGGAAGGCGCTTCCCGCAAACGGCCACACACGCCCAGAGGCTGGGTGGGGCCGTGAGGCGGTGGGGCGCGCAGCCGGCCGGGCGGGAGGAGGGGCGGGGGACGGGGAGCGGGGCTCCGGACGCGCCGAGCGGGTCCTCTGCGCCCCCTGCCGAGCGCCGGCCTCCACTGCACGTGCCGCCGCCGCCGCCGCCGCCCCTGCGCGCCAGGAGCGGGACCCGGCGGCGGGCACGCCCCGGGAACCCCGCCGCCGACTCCTGACCCCTCCCTACCGGTCCGCGGTCTCCGCGTTCCTCCCTGGGAGAAGGGAGGTGGGAATTGGAGGCTTTTTTGTAATGGAAATACAGGCGCTCGCGGAAGTCCCCTGGCCTAAAGCACTTTAGGAGCCGGCCTTACCAGGTGCTTGAAATTCCACCATTAGAGATACCATTCTTTGGAGGGGTGGAGTGGTGACGTCTTCAACTTTTATTGGATATTTTAACGGTGAGGACTTACCAGATATGCCTGGGAAGGGGCTTGGAAGGAGTAGGTAGGCAAAGTCGTTCATTCCTTCTCTCAGTAAAGCTTTTATTAGAGATCATTTGCCAGGGCTATCCTGAAGGTAACTCAGAGCCAACAGTCATACTGTGGCAGTGCTGGGTTGTGAAAGGCTAGTTTCTCCTGTCACGTTTTGCCTTTTATTAATCACTGGATAATTGAGCCCCCCTACTCCGGGAAGTCTGCCTTGACTTTTTGGGTGTATGGTTACAGGCAAAGTCAGTATCTGTCAGTTTAGCAGGCCAGGTTCTCTGTTTATTTCCCACGAGTTCTGTCTGGTCTCTCCAGGCTCATTCGGTGACCAGGGACAGAAAATCCTCGTCAGCTGGGGCACTTCTCTAAGGGACAAGAATCAAAATATAGAGTACAAGGAGCCAACGCTCCCATTTCCTGTCCCATCAGGGATAAGCCCATGCTCTCCTCAAGAGCCATTTGCATCTGGTCCCACATTCCATATGACCTTCGTGAGCACCCAGCCTGGACAGTCTGTTCTCCAAAGAGAGCCAGGAAGTCACATAAGATCATGAATGCTCCTAAATTTAAGTTAGATCGTCTCTCTTCTCAAATCCCTGCCATGGCTACCCGGCTCACTTGGAGTAAAAACTGAAGCTTCTACCTTGGCATGAAGGGTCAAAGTGCCCTGGCCCCTCTCCTACTGCTCTCCTATCACTCACTCCCGTGACCATATCAGTCCCCTAACTGCTGTCCCTTGAATTCAACAGAGACACTTCCACCTCAAACTCTGGCACTTGCTGTTCCCTCTACCTGGAATGCTGTTTCCCCAGGTGCCCACGTGACCCACTCCCTCCCCTCCTTCAGGTCTATATTTAAATGCCACCTTATGGAGAGGGGCTTTCCCTGACCGTCCTGTCTGAAATAACACCCATCATCCTCTGTGCCCTTAGCCCCCTCGATTTTTCTTCTAGCGCTTATCACAACCTGACATGTTACTTATTTCTGCTTATTTGTATGTTGTCTGCCTTCCCAACAAGAATGTAAGCTCCAACGAGAACAGAGAACTTTATCCGTTTGTTCCTCATCCAGCACCTAGAAAACAGCCTGGCACATAGTCAGTGCTCAATAAATTTGTGAAATGACTGAATGAGTGTGTCAGGCACTAAGCCAACTACGGGTACAGGCCATGAATAGCCTGGGCTCTTGCCCTTGAAGAACAGATGGGCGGACAGGCAAATAATTACAAACCAGAGTGATGAGTATTCTATCCAAGTACAGATGTATGTAAAGTACACTCGAAGGCTCAAGGAAGGAAATAATTCACTCTGCCTGGAAATCAGAGGAAAGCACAAGGATGACATCATCGGGTGGAGGAGAGAGGGAAAAGGCATTCCAAGCCGAGAGAAGAGTGAGAGCAAAGGCAGAGGTGTGAAAATACGAGCTAGAGCAAAGGCAGAGGTGTGAAAATATTTGACTAGTTTGTGGGGGCGTAGCAAGTAGGCTGGCCTGGCTGGAATGCAGGATGCAAGGCAGGTGTGGCAGGGGATAAGTTTGGAAAGACAGATTGAGGATGTATTATTAAGGGCTTGTTAGAATGATGATGATTGACTCTCTAAATTTCAGAACCGTGCCAGGCCTGTGGGGACATTTCAGGGCAAAGAGCTTACTTCTAACCTCAGACAGGGCACCACAGGAACAGCCACGTCCTGCTGCTGGGAAAGGCCTGGGAACACAGTGGGGGTCTCCCCGGGGCCTCAGGCTAGGCTCTGAGGATCCATGGGAGCAATCTGGCAGCACTGCTTGCCTTCCTGTTTCTGATCTAAACAGGACCCTCAATAAGGACTGTGCCCAGCTCCATGGAGCCCAAGAGTCCTGGGCTACATCACCAAGAGTCCAAGTTTCAAAATGTCCTTATTTTCCAATCTGACTCAAAAGGGTGGGGAAAAATTATAGACAGCAGCCATCAAGGGACATTGGCTTAATATAACTGGTGACCTGGGAAACGAGAGAGGCAGAAAATAATTTCCCTCTCAGACTGAGGAGCAGAGAGGGCCTCTTACAGCTCACTCAAAATAAAGACTTTTCCATCAAGCAGAGGGAGAGCATTTGTGTGTTTGCAGGACAAGAAGATTCTTTTCTTTGGCTTCCTCCTTGGTTATGTTGTTCCTCCCCCACCCACCCATCCCCTTCTCCTGCCGTCTCCGCCCTCAATCCTTCTCTCCTGACTTTTCCTTTCTTTTTCTCTTTTCCCGTGTCCTTCCACCCTGCCCACTTCCCTGCTCTCCTCTCCTCCCCTCCCTCCCTATTCCTTCAACTTAAGCAGGAGACAGCTATTTAAAACTGTTGAGGGATAATTATTTTAAATGGAAAACCATGACTCTTATGCAAATATAAAATGAACACGTGGCTTCTACTTCATTTAACTAATTAATTAATGAGGGAACCAGTAAGATGTTACAGTCAGTTCACAGAATCCAAAACACAGACCCATTTATATAGACAATCAAGGATGGGGGAGGGAACTTGCTAACTGATGCGGAGCTGGCATCTTCATTTGCATTCCTATGAACAGAATCTTGTGCCTCTGCTGCAGCCCTCCATAAGTTAACATCCATCTCTACAGGGATGCAACATCATGAATGACAATAAAAGGCGCAGATCCCCATAGAATCAGACAACTCAGGAAGGGTCCTCTAGTCTAGACAACAGTCTAGACAACCCCTGACATTCCATTGAAAGGATGCCCAAGGACCTTTGCCCATTTCAAAGTCTTTCACCATTTTTCTTGACAAGACCTCAGAAGAGTACAGGAAAGAGAGGTGGGAGCTGGTTAATTTTCACAAGACTCCAAACTGGTCTCTGTTTAAGGGTGGAAATTGATTCTGGCCCTGAGGCTCAGGCCCAGGGCAGAGGGGGGATGAGAAGAATGGTTGCCTGGCCCTGAGAAAAGCTGTGGGTGATGGGGCAGGTGACTGTTGGCCAACACTCCATAAACCTTCATTCCCTTCCTCCTGCCATCAACCTCAAACCTTGGAGACACAGGGAAGTTAAGGGCAAGGGTGGGGCAAATCCACCCCACATGAGGCCAGACCAGTGGAAGTAGTACTGGGCATGAAGGTGGCCATGGGCCTCCTCCAAGTCAGTCCCACTAATGTCCCTGCCATTTGGGTCTTCCCCTAGATGACAGCTTTCAGGACCACCTCACCAGGCTTTCGGGTGCATCTCCTGGGGTCTGTAGCAGTCGCTACATGGCTCATACCTTTGCACTGATCCTATTGCCCACTCCCAGACCTCACCCAAGTTCCCCCTGTCTCTTCCCAGATGTGGCCTTCCTGGACCTCTCTGTCATTATGCAGAGAACGACCAGGGACATGTCCAAGATGCACCTTCTAATGAGATATGTGAGCTTGGGAGCATGAAGCCGCCAGCGAACGTTCCCTGGAGGCCACTGGGTGAGCTGCTTGGCAGATGCTGGGGTGACGGTTGAGGAGGGGATGAGAGAGGGTGGCATTTGCAAAGAAGATGTGATCCCTGCTCTCAGAGAATTTCTAATCTAGCTTGGGAGGCCAAGTACCAAAGAAGCCCCAACAGCTGGTAGCCAGGGGCAGTGTGTGTGGAGAGAGGGATGTTGGGGGCAGGGAGGGAGGCTAGGGAAGCTCTGACCACAGAACCATCCCTAGAGCAGGACAAGGAGACCATCCCTCACCAGCAGAGTTCCTGCAGAATCCCTCATCCCCATGAAAGAAAGGCAGCTACCTTGCTTACCTGTACCCGGAACGGGTGTCTTCACAGCCATATGCATAGGGCCTCATCCCCATCCCCCATTTCTTCTTTCCCACCCTCCCAGAAGAAAGAACTGTTTGGCCTGAAGGTAGAAACACCAGGTGGGTAATCAAATGATTAAAAGCATTTCTAGGATACAGAGGTAAGGCAGGTGATGAAACCTGTTCCACCAAACTTAGGGCCTTGAGGCAGGCTTTGAACCAGGTGGAAGACACCCAGGTTTAGTTCTTCTGGCTACTCAGGTAGCAGTGTGATTCAGAGCCAATAATTTCTCAGCTCATCTATCACCAAGGGGGTTGGACCCCCTAATTGATTGATTGACAATTAAATATTTTTATTGTGGCAAAATATTCATACTATAAAAATTTCCATTTTAACCTTTTTTTTGTGTGTGTGGTATGCGGGCCTCTCACTGTTGTGGCCTCTCCCACTGCAGAGCACAGGCTCCGGACGAGCAGGCTCAGCGGCCATGGCTCACGGGCCCAGCCACTCCGCGGCATGTGGGATCTTCCCGGACCGGGGCACGACCCCGTGTCCCCTGCATCGGCAGGCGGACTCTCAACCACTGCGCCACCAGGGAAGCCCAATTTTAACCATTTTTAAGTGTACAGTTCAGTAGCATTAAGTACTTCTACATTGCTGTGCAACCATCACCACAATCCATCTCTAGAATTTTTTCATCATCCCAAACGGAAATTCCATAACCATTTAAACAGTAACTCCCTGTTACTCCCCTCCCCCGACTCCCTAATAACCACTTCTCTACTCTGTCACTACATATTTGACTACTCTGGGGACTTCATCTAAGTGAAATCATACAATATTTGTCCTTTTGTGTTTGGCTTATTTCACACAACATAATGTTTTCAAGGTTCATCCATGTTGTAGCATGTGTCAGCGTTTCATTCCTTTGTAAGGCTGAATACAATTCCATTGCATGTATATACCACATCTTCTTTATCCATTCATCTATAAGTGGACACTTGGGTTGCTTCCAAATTCTGGCTATTGTGAATAATGCTACTATGAACATGGGTGTACAAATATCTCTTCCAGTTCCTGCTCTCGATTTTTATATATATATATATATATATATATATATATATACCCCAAAGTGGAATTGCTGGTTGATAATTCTATGTTTGATTTTTTTGAGGACCCACCGTAGTGTTTTCCATAGTGGCTGCTCCATTGCTACATTCCCAAAGGTTCCAATTTTTCCACATCTGCACCAAAACTTGTTTTCTGTTTTTTTCTGACAATAGCCATCCTAAAGGGTGTGAAGTAGTATCTCATTGTAGTTTTGATTTGCATTTCCCTAATGATTAGTGATATTAAATATCTTTTCATGTGCTTATTGGCCATTTGTATATCTTCTTTGGAGAAGTATCTATTCTGGTCCTTTGCCCATTTTTGCATTGGGTTGTTTTGGTTTTGGTTATTACAGTTTAGGAGTTCTTTCTATATTCTGGATATTAATAACTTATTAAATATATGATGTGCAAATATTTTCTCCCATTCTGTGGGTTGCTTTTCAGTACTCTGTTGATGGTTTCCTTTGGTCCACAAAAGTTTTTAATTTTGATGAAGTCCAAATTGTCTATTTTTTATTTTGTTGCCTATGTCTTTGCTGTCCTATTCAAGAAATCATCGCCAAATCCAGTCTTAAAGCTTTTCACTTATGTTTTCTTCTAAGAGTTTTATAGTTCTAGCTCTTATGTTTACATTTAATCCATTTTGAGTTAATTTCATTTATGGTCTTAGATAAAGGCCCAACTTCATTCTTTTGCATGTGGAATCCAGTTTCCCTAGCACCATTTGCTCAATCCCTGATGTCTAAGATCCTGTATCAGTTAGGAATTTTGTTTAGCTTCAAGAAATAGAAGCTGCAGTAGCTTAAACACAGACATTTTTATTATTTCACATAGGAGAAGTCCATGGGTAGGCTGTGCTCAGCTACTGAGAAGGTTCCACGGGGATCTAGGCTTCTTCTATCTTTCTATTCCACCATGCATGACTCCCATTCTAGGTCCACTATGGCTGCTGGAACTCCAGCCAATATTTGTGAGTTCCAGGCAGCAGGAAGGAGGAAGAGGGAGGGATAAACGAGTACCACTTCCTTTAAGGAGCCTAAGTCCTGAACAATTCCTTAAAATCTCATTGGCCAGGTCTTTTTTTTTTCCCCCCAAAAGAGCAAAGTTTATTTCTCTGGTCACATTCCTTATAATGATGTACATTGCTACGAACTTCATTTCTTTGTTCTTTCTGTCTGTGTTCATTATAACAATGTGCCTATATTGCTTATTATGTGTCAGGCATTCATCTTGACATTTATAAATATTCTGCTTAATCGTCATAATAATTCATAAGGGTAGGTACTATTATTTTTCTCACTGTGTCATTGGCCAGATCTCAATCACGCAGCTGCAAAGGAGTCTGGGAAATAGAGACTCTTCTCTGGGTACAGTGCCATCTCAAATAAAATCAGGACACTCTTACCAAGGAAAAAAGGGAGAAGGAATGCTGGCTTAAATATTTAGAAGCGTCTGCTTTGGGCACCTCGTCCATCTGTAATTCTGTGGCAATTTGTCTCTTGGAGAAGAAAATGAGAAAATGGTTGCAAAGTGCTCAACAAAATGCTTTGCTCAGGCTGTGTACTCAAAACATGCTAGCTGGGGCTTCCCTGATGGTGCAGTGGTTAAGAATCCACCTGCCAATGCAGGGGACACAGGTTCGATCCCTGGTCGGGGGAGATCCCACCTGCTGCAGAGCAACTAAGCCCGTGCTCCACAACCACTGAGCCTGTGCTCTAGAGCCCGCAAGCCACAACTACTGAGCCCACGAGCCACAACCACTGAAGCCCGCGTGCCTAGAGCCCATGCTTTGCAACAAGGGAAGCCACCGCAATGAGAAGCCCACGCACCGCAACAAAGAGTAGCCCCCACTCGCCGCAACTAGAGAAAGCCCGCGTGCAGCAACAAAGACCCAACGCAGACAAAAATAAATAAGTAAATTTATTTTTTTTAAATGCTAACTATTATTTTCTTTTATTATTCTCTGATCTCAGGCCTTTCCAATATCTGTGCAGTTCTCTGCTTTAGAGGTGAAAACTGCCCCCCAGGTATCTTCCACACCAATGCCTTGAATATACCATTAGTGCTCTAAGTCTCTGTTTCTCTATTTAGGCCTTATTTTCAATCGAAAGGGGGTGAAGTAGGAGGGGCACAGGTAGCCTAAGGAATGACACACTCAGCCACTCTCAGCCTCTGTCTGTCTGATGCTTTTTTGCCAGGCTGCTGGCTGGGATCTGGGCTCCAGGGGAATTTGAGTCAGAAGGGGAGGGTCGTACACAGCCCAGAGGATACCAGATGAGTGTGACACTGTGGTGAGGATGAAAAGTGTAGGAAAGGGGCTGGATGGCTGCCTTTATATATGTGCAGAGGTGAGGGCATTTAAAGGTGGTGGAGGACGTGCTTTGCCCCTCTCTGCTGCTCCTGGGCTTATGTGGACACACTGTCAGGCACAGCCCGGTTAATCCCAGTGAAACAGGGCAGGATGGGAAGGCCTGGAATCTGAACCAAAACCACCCTTCAGGTGTGCGGAGGTGCTGCAGAACCCAGAGAGAGTGCCCGAAGATGTAGCCAAGCCCAGACAGGGGTCGGCAGTATGGTTACAGAGACCTGAGTTCATTCAGGCCGTCTCCAGAGTGATTGGTCAGAGAGAGGAGGCCGCAGACAGCGCCATGCTGGGCTGCAAAAGTCCTTCCTGGGAAGACTGTTCGGACCTCTATCCTTGGGGCAAGGTGTCAGCAGGTACACACCGCCAGGGAGAGGAGTGCAGCTGGAGCTGGCCACGTCAGAAACTGGGCCACACGGGGCCCATTTAGTAGCAGAAGAGGGGACCAAAGTCAACTCCAGGAGCTGTGATATTCAGAGCATTGAATCACAGTATGGCCAGACTCCCACCAGTCAGGGCAGACACAGGCCTCAGAACTGGGGCAGGGTCCTGGAAGCCTCCTACTGGGCCAAGGGCCAACCCTTTACCTTGTGGATCATGGGAAGGTCCCGGGGGCTGTGGCACAGGGGCTGGGGGGCTGGGTTGGCAGAGGGCACTCAGGGGATGTGTGGCTGCAGTTCGTTACTCATTGATACTAACATATTTCAGTAGTTTAACCACTGGTACAACTGGAACCATTTATTAATCAGCCTTGACCCCAAGGGGACAATAAGTATTGACTTTCCTACAGTTTAGGGTCAGCGGGATGGACTTGTTCAGAGCTGAAAGAACAGTGGGCTCCTTCCACACACTCAGGCGCACACTCACCCCATTTTATTGGACCCCTCCGTGTAGGGGTCCCGGGTGGACCTTTGGATTTCTGTCTTGGCTGAATCAGCGCTCTGACTTGGGCCCAGGGACAGGTGTGCAGGTACCTGGGGTTGGTATTTGCTGGAGGTACGTGAGCCAGAGGCAAGCAAAGGTCAGATTCTGAGGTAAGGTCAGTCTGCAGGGTCAACTTCCGGGGAGAAGACAGAGAGCACGAAGAGGAACTGGGACAGAGCCAACAGCAGGGGACAGGCACCAGGGCCCGGGGACCTCCTGGTGGTGTGCAGGGGGCGACGCCTATGGCCACGTCTGGGGTGAGGGAGCTGTTTAGGCCTGACCTCCTGTTGGTGCTGCCAGACCCCAGGGGAGAGCTAGGAAGAGGCCACAAGAGTCCGTGCCGGCCAGGTCAAAGGCAACCCGTTCGGCTCAGTGGTGAGCAAACACGGCACTCCCCAGTTAGAAGCATAAATAGCTGTCAGACAGGGTCAATGGCAGCACGTTCTAGACGGATGATTGGGTGACCATCAGGAATAACTTCAGGAAGACTTAGATTCAAGGGGACATGGTGGAAAGAGAATCTACATGGGACACAGGGGCTCCAGTTTCCTCTCTAAGCTCTGCCATTAACAGGCTGTGTGACCTCAGGTGAGTCACTGCCCAGCTCAGGGCCACATTTCCTCTACCTGCAAAATGAGGGCTCTGGCTTCGACCTCGCAAGGATCTCAGGGGGAGAGATCATGATCAGAGGAAGAGCCAACCCTGAGTGAGTTGAGGACCAGCCAGGGACTGCTCAGAGTATATCACAGTGGGATTTAGCTTCGACATCTGGGAAGACTCCTGAAATTCCCAATCCAGAAAATGCAGGGGGGCAAATGTTGTTCGAAACTTGGCCTGCTTCCAGTGATGCTCAGATCTCAGACACACATCAAGTCCAGAAGCAAGAGGCAGGGCTTCCCTGGTGGCGCAGTGGTTGAGAGTCCACCTGCCGATGCAGGGAACATGGGTTCGTGCCCCGGTCCGGGAGGATCCCACATGCCGTGGAGCGGCTGGGCCCGTGAGCCATGGCTGCTGAGCCTGCGCGTCCAGAGCCTGTGCTCCGCAACGGGAGAGGCCACAACAGTGAGAGGCCCGCGTACCGCAAAAAAAAAAACAAAACCAGAAGGAAGAGGCAGAATTATCTTGAAACCAAAGAAGCTACAGCCTCCTCCACTTGCAAGGGCCTCTTTCAAGATCTTGGAGAGGCCCAGGCCATATGTTCACATTTTTTCCCTTACGGAGCGTATCCCAAAATTGTATAAGGTTTAAGCCCCACAAAACCTGGCCCCAGCCCTGTCAGTTGCCCTGGGATTTGGAGCCATTATTATGGCAGGTGGAGCACGCTGACAAGCACCCATCCTAATCAGATGGGCAAGGCTCAGCAGCAGACAGCAGGCGGCCACACCCGTGGTGGCTTGACATGACTTATTCACCTGTGTCTGACAAAAAAAAAAAAAAAAACCATACACACCTATCCCACTTTCACCTTCATTGTCACATTCAATCTTCCCCACAAGCCTGACCAGTCTTATCACCTGTGATTTAGATGATAAAACTGAGGCTCAGAGAAGCTAAGTTTGCAAGGCTGGCTGGAGACAGAAGCAGGATGCAAACCCAGGACTTTCTCAGGACCAGTCCAGGGCTCTTCAGTTTTCCGATTCAGGACCAGACACAGTCATCCTAAAGCATAGCATAAAGACATTCACCCCAAATCTGCCTGGAGAGTCTGCCAGTGGCACGAACATCTCCACCTTGGTTCTGGGGACAAAGGAGGCACACGTGGGGATAAAGCACATAACATGACTTAGAATCATAGGACCACAACTGTTCAAGAACTTGGGGAAGGAGAGGGTTTTTCGATTTTCCCCTTATTTTCTTCCTGAACTTTGCATTCCTACTCAAAACACAAGTCATTTGGATCAGCTATATTTATACTAAATATAAACACAAATGTTCAAACATGGCAGTAATTCAGTTGGCAATAGTTTCTCTACAATATCAAGCCTGCAAACAACTAGAGGTTTAGGGGCCCAACATAAACACACACACACACAAGCACACACATGCCTCCCTGTGACAACTCTAGTCTCTCAAAGCCACACACCACATCAATAAAAGACAAAAACCACATGATCATCTCAATAGATGCAGAAAAAGCATTTGATAAAATTCAACATCCATCATGATAAAAACCCTTACAAAAGTGGATATAGAGGGAACATATCTCAACATAATGAAAGCTATTTATGACAAACTCACAGCCAATATAATACTCAATAGTGAAAAGCTGAAAGCCTTCCCACTAAAGTCTGGAACAAGATAAGGATGCCCACTCTTACCACTTATATTCAACATAGTATTGGAAGACATAGCCACAGCAATCAGACAAGAAAAAGAAATAAAAGATATTCAAATTGGTACGGAAGAGGTAAAATTGTCATTATACGCAGATGACATGATACTATATATAGAAAACCCTAAAGACTCCACACCAAAACTACTAGAACTGATAGATGAATTCAGCAAGGGAGCAGGACAAGATTAACATACAGAACTCAGTTGCATTTCTTTACACTAACAATGAAATATCAGAAAGGGAATGTAAATGAACAATCCCTTTTAAAATCACATTTAAAAAAAGGAAAATACTTATGAATAAATCTCACCAAGAAGATGAAAGACTTTTATCCTGAGAACTACAAAACGTTAGTAAAGGAAACTGAAGATGATTCAAAGAAATGGAAAGATATCTCCTCCTCAAACCACAACGTTGTGGGAGAGGGAGGTCCAGCCTCCACCCCACATGTGAGCCGGATCTTTAGACTTGGTTTGGTCTGGTGCAACATCCCCACCCAGGAAACCAAAACAGCTGGCAAGGAAAACAGCTGCAGAGTGAGCTGCCCAGATCCCTCCAGTTGCTTTATTCTAATGAGGCCACCTGGGACCCCAGCCTAAATAGGGCCCAGTCTCAGGGGCACTTGAGAAACTATGCATGTGACCCCTCTAGGGCAGGATTCCAAACCTAGGGAGTTTGCCGAGGAGCAGTTTGTAGGAACCGTGCTGACCTTTTTGACCTCACCTCAGAAGGTGGTGTCTACATTCTCAACCCAGAGCACCCCAGCAGACTGGGATTCATTGGAAGGCAGCTTTGAATGTTCCTACAACTTTCTGGCTTTAAAAAGGGAACCCCTCTCCATTCTCCTGTAATTTGGCAAAATGGGATCTCTTCCAGCCCCTTTATATATTCCAATCCAGTTCTTTCCTTTTTTCTGATGGGTGAGTCTAAACCCTTCCTACACTATTCCTCAGTGAATTTTCCTCCCTCTGTCTAATCCCTGCTCATTCCTCTGGCTCTTCTGCCAACAGGTGCAATCTGCTCTTTTGAGGTGTCACAGCCAGGATTTAGGGTTGTGT